AATTAAGGTGGCTTGGGTGGCTGTGAATTTTCCTGCCTTCTAATATTTGCTCTCTTACTATAATGTAAATATGGAATTATTGGCTTTCTTACCTTGTATGATTTTTGAGAAAACACCAACATTCTCTTATATAATTGATACATACTTCAGTTTATTGAAGCTTTTTTTTTTTTGGTCTGTGAATTTTAAATAATGAAAGTGTAACCCACATTCAATGGCCCTTTCACAGGTAAGGGTTGGATTCTGATATTGTACTCACATTGAGTGGCATCTTACTGATTTGAATAGCCACAGCTGGCCTGCCTGCAGAGTAAGGTGCTACTCAGTGTGAATGAGGCAAATTCTGGTTTTATATGTTGCTGTATGTCTCCAAAGACTTTTAGAAACACTGATTAGTAAGTAAGGGCAAGAAATAATCTTTTGATATTTGTAACAGAAAATAAAGGACTTTCCCATAAAACTAGATACGCTTTGTGCAGAGCTTTTGTATTTAGAGCAAATATTGTGTACCTTGCAATAGCTTGTGTGCAACCTTCAGTGTCTAGAACCTGTTGTACTAAGCGTGGTTGTCTCTCAGTTACTGCACTGGGGTTGTCATTTAACTTCATTGTGAAATGTTATTGGTGTTTGCCCATCCCCCATGATAGCCACTGAGGAGGCTCTGAATGGAGCTCAGTTTAGCATCTCATACCAAAGAATTATCTGTCCCTGAAGGCTAAGTTTGTTTTGGGTGGTCCAAGGTCTAAACGGATGTCATGACATTGCCTCTGCTTTGGATAAGAATGGAGTAATCAAGCAGTGATGTTTCCATGGGAGCTAATTTCATCTCTTGGCCAGATCTGGCCTCTGTATCTCTTTATTTAGAGCTCTGTTTCCAACATCCCTCTTGGCTTGAAATACCAGTTAGTGGTAGCAGTCAGTGCTGTGCTGAAACAAAAGGAAATGTAGCAACTGGCCTCTGGGAAGGACTTTGGGTTGACTTTTTAGAGGCCTATCCAAGTCTCAGAATATGCAAGAGTATCACTTTGGTAACGGCCTGTTTAATAGCTGAAATTGGGATGTGGTACCTATACAGAGACTATGGTTAAATACATTGGAGAGAGAATTCTTTATTAATTTAGTTTTGTTTTTAATCCATATGCCTTGGAATGGATATGGAATAAAAGGCAAGATTTTATTATAAAAAGAAACTAGGGCTAAGAGCCAAACTCTATCTCTCCCTCTCACACAGGTGAGTAGTTAAGCAAAAAAAAAAGGAAGATGTCAATTGCAGATGAACAATGTAACAATCTCTGTAAGATGTACATTCATTTCACTAACTGAATGTGTTGGATGATTGGCGAAGGGACGTTAAATAGATAAAAGTTAATGCTCACATGATTCTGATACTTCCGATGAGACCTGTTTTCCCCTCTGGAAAGTGAATTATAAAATGTTCTCCAACTTAGTCACATTTATTATAAAAAGTAAAAAACCATTCCAGTGGGGGGGAATCCTTCTGCCAAGTTGGTCTTCATTTTGATCTTGGAAACACAAGATTGTGATCAATGTATTTGTTTTTTCAAGGAGTATGTAGCTACAATAATATCCTTTCTCATGGGATTCGATATAAAAAGGGGGATGGAATAGAAGCGTACTTAACAGCAGAAGACAAAGGGAGCTGGGGATGGAGATGTTATCAAGATGGAAAGGGCTTATGTGTAGAGTTACTTCATAGGTCGGTTTTAGGACATGCGATCAGGTGGCTTTCCCCACTCAGATACACTCCAAACACAGTTCACACCAGTTGTGCTGGAGTCTAAACTTACATCCTTTGTGGGGTTTGGTCTTATTCACGTAAGGAACTGAAAATACCACACAAAATCCAGCCCTCTGTCTATAGAGAGTCATTCCCACTTTCCTTAGGGTGAGATACTGAACTACCTGCAACAGTGAATCGACAAAAGATACTTAATGTTTTCAGCATGATCATAAGGAGGTTTTCAAGCAAACACGTCCATCTCTGTGCATAATTGTATATATTCCACACACAAAACATTAGTTATCTTTGAACTGAGGTTGCTAGTTGCATATCCTGTGAGTGCAAGATATGAAAAACAAGGAAAAGAAGCTGGCAAGTCATTCAACAGCCCATGTACAGGCCACCTTTTTGTTCCCCTTCTCAGCCTCAGCAGCCTCTTCTCCACAGTCTACAGCCCACTTACCACCACCCTTCTCCTGAACAACCATATACGGATGAAACTCTAACCATACATACAATTCAACAGCAGCCGCACACGTAGATTTCCATTCTGTAACTTGAATATAAACAATTAATACCAAATCGTGAGTGATCAAGACAGAAAATGCAGTTGTCCTCGGAAGAGCTATTGTGCCAGATTTGGAAACCAAATTCAGTTATTAAAATGTGAAACAGAAAAATGTCAGTCGTGCTTAGAGTACAGCTCTCTACACAGACTGAGCCATGGTATTACCCCTGTAATAGAGCAGCAGTAAGGGTAAGCACTTTTACAGATAGGTCTGCAGATAAGGTTGTGCCCCAGAGTCCACCGATGGAGGGCTGGGATTGAAAGCCAAGTGACCCAGATGTGGGGTTTTACATTCCTTCATTCCATAACTTTTGAGTTTTCCATTTAGGTTTATTTTCATCTTTTTTGCTAGCACTTCTTTGGAGGAAGAGCTGATGCTTGCTGGCCTTTGGCAGAAGTGTGATTTGTGGAGGAAGGGAATTGAAGTGAGGGAGGGTGTGAAAATAGGAATGATTTGAATGAAAATAGTTGTAAATGAGCCCTTCAGGTCTGAAGACGATAATGGAATTGCAGACAGCAAATAAGTACAACCACCGTCAGATGCAAAAGGAACTGAATAACTTAGGCCAACAAATGATGAATGCACTTCATTATAGAACAACGCACAATGCTTTGAAAGCAAAGAATTGGTCATCCAGCCCAATGATCAGGGAAAGATTTGGGAGAGATGCCATTGAAACCAGCTGCTCAGTGTACAGTAGCAGCCAAGAAACCTGGGGCAAGTTTCCTCAGTGGTGTGAATCAATGTGTTTGCTGGCTGAGGATCTTGTCCTCAGGTGACTTGTTTTGCATAAGACACATGTACAGATGTGTTTAAAACTAAAGAGCTCAGTAGGGCCTGATCCTGCTCTATTGAAGTCAAATAGAGTCTGTTGGTTTCAGGGGTGTATGCATTGGGCCCTTACTGAATACATGCTTTACAAAGTTACCATACCATGGTGGATTCAGTTTGTCTAGTCAAATTCCCAAATGTTATTAAATCATAATATGTCTGGAAGCGAATTTTTACAGCTGATTTACAAATCTCTGCAAACAGAGTTTTGTAGTTGAAGTGCTGTCACGCCCTTAACTGTAGCAATGATACAGACAAGAATGCTGTCATCTCAGTCTTCAAGAGAGATGCTAATGTATGAGCTTGACTGTGAATCTTATTCTTACCCTGCAAAGAAGCTGTTGCTGGGTCTGCCTCTGCTCACGTTTCCCACTGTGGAAATCTCAGAGAAACATGGAAGGAAAGGAGAAATTTCTTGCCTTTCGCTATTATTATTTGCAATGTGTTAAATATTTCACCACACACTTTTTCCTTGAAACAATGGACAAAGTATAATGACCTTCTCTATGTAATATTACAGCGCAGATCCTGGGAAAGTTCTGTAAGACACTAGGCACTATGTGAGTTTAGATTAGGAGGTGGTTGTAACCCTCCGGTTCAGCATCTAAGCGGCTTTGTAAAAATAAAACATGTTTTGTTCCTTTTTTTTTTTAATTTAAAATTTATGGGTGCTCCTGGGTTTGTATGCTGGCTGCTGCTTTCCTTTGCTGTCAGAGCTCAAGCTTTGTTGTTATTAAAAAAACAGGAACCACTCTACAGATTGCCATGCATCCTCCTGTCTGTCAGTATCGCACCGTGTTACTTACAAAAACAGAACAGGAACCTGGAAATGAGAGCGCCTCAATGTGCTTGATGTGTTCTTAATAGGTTCCCTGTGTTGCTGTATGCCTCGCTCTGGGCTACACAAATCTCACTCTCCTTGAGGGCTGCACACCTTTTGCTGTTTCTCTGTTATAGCGCTCTGTGGCATGATTTTGGTGCGTTGGATCAAGGGGGATTTCTTCATTTTATTTATTGTTTGTATGATAGTATTAACTAGAGCCTGGAACCAAGATCTCCCCATTGTGGTAGGTGCTGTAGGTACACCTGGGAAGAGGCAGTGTTGCTCCGAAGAGTGAACATTCTAATTAAACAAGAGTTATAAGGGATGGAAGAATTTTTTAAATTTAAATATTATTATCCCCATTTTATAGACGAGGATCTGAGCCACAGAAACACTGAAGTAGAAGTCTCTGGCAAAGCCAGGAATTAAACACAGATTTCCTGAGGCCTAGGCCAGTGTTTTAACCACAAAGCCTCATTCCCCCTTATTTAGGAGACTTATTCATTTAGCAAACACGGCAAGTTCAGTTCCTCTGTCCCCTAGGTAACTCACTCGATACTTTTTCCATTGATGGCACCTCTTTCATTATCACATTTTTTTGGTAGGGTAGATATTTTCTTCTCCTGATCCACTGTAAATATGTGGATCAGTGGAGGTTTTAAGTGTCTTTCCAGTTTCACTAGATGGGTGGAAAATATTCTAGTTTTCTTAAATATCGTGACTTTCCGGTTTGTAATCTGTAGAAACAAACTCTTAGAGCTCTTAACTCAGGCACTTAGAGTCCCATTATAAAATTCACATGGAGCCAAAGAATAAAAGAATAAAATCCTATCCAATTTATTTTAAAAAGGTCTTGGGAAATATTCCTTGTCTCAGGTTTTTCTATTCAACCTTGGGACAATACAATTGTATATTGGCCTCTGATATACGGATTGAATGTTGTGTAGTAAAAATGCTACAAAATTTGCGGTAGGGAGCAACTGCATAGTTCCTTTGATGATGGAAACTGAGTATGAATCTTTTCCTTTTCTCTCAGGCTCTTGAGGAGGCCCAAAAAGCCATTCAGCAACTCTTTGGTAAGATTAAAGATATCAAAGACAAGGCGGAAAAATCAGAGCAAATGGTGAGTAGCAGTTTCTTCCTGGCCTTTAAAGGGAGCGAGAGATCTTCTTTTGTTCCCAGCATTTGTGGTTTGTCCATCCTAATGGTCGCATATTGGTAACACATGCTATTGAGAGTTCATTCTGGCGCTAGTTCTACATGCTGTATGTAGGTTCTGAACCCTTGTCCCTATGTTAATGTGGCTGTAGAAGCTAGCAAGGTTCCAATTCCAGAGAGGACAGGGCCCGTCACATCCTCTCCTTACAATTTGCTGTAGTGGCTTGGATGTTTAATCAGTCTCTTGTTTTTAATCCCTAGGTTAAAGAAATCACACGAGATATCAAGCAACTAGATCATGCCAAGCGGCATCTGACCACCTCCATCACTACCCTCAATCACCTACACATGCTGGCAGGGGGTGTGGATTCACTTGAGTAAGCCACAGGAACTTTCACTGGTGCTTTTATAAATATGGGGCTTTGCAGCTGTATTCTGGAGTACTGGGCAGCATTCTAAATAGTTCTTTATTAGCCGATTCTTCTTCTTCCAGGGAATGTGTGCTCACAGAATTAGCAATGGCTATTATAAATTCTGTTGTCAGGTCTTTTCTGCATGTACCCGGTAGGTCCTGCAGTCCCTGTCCCCAGGGCTGGCTCTGGCTTTTTTGCCGCCCCAGGCAAAAAAGCCTCCGGCCGCCCCCTCCCCCCCACGGGGGGGTGGCCGGAGCCCCGGGCGGAGGGTGGCGAGCCCCGGCGGGGAAGCCAAGGAGCGGCCGGGGGGAGGGCGCCGGGGGGGAGGGCGTCCGGAGCCCCGGGGGGAGGGCGGCGAGCCCCTGCGGGGGCTCGGCTCTCCCCCTGGCAGCCAGAGCGCCGGGGGCAGGGCGGCGAGCCCCGGCGGGGGCTCGGCTCTCCCCCCGGAGGCCTGAGCGCCGCGCCGCCCCCCTCCAGGTGCCGCCCCAAGCACCAGCTTGGTTGCCTGATGCCTGGAGCCGGCCCTGCCTGTCCCATATGAATAGGAACTACTGTTGCTGCCTTGGACTCGAGTCGTGTCCCTGATAATCAGCATTAGAGGACCATAGTTGCTATGTTGGTGAATAATGTTGTTCCATTCAGTTGCATGTCCTAATTCTGAGTGTGGCCTTTACAAATTAGAGCATCCCCCAAGTGGTATTTGAGATTAGTGAAATTTATCTATTTCTTTAGTTGTTTGCATTTCTAAGGTGCCCACCACTACGGTGTGCAGGTGCTGTTACATAAATTACGAAGTACGTTTAATGACCCTTCAAGAGAAGGGAACCCAATTCTTCTCTTCTGCCTGCATTTTGAAACTACGCTTTATCTGTAGTAATCTCTAGTTGGTTTACTTGAGGAGCACACTGCCAGGGCAATCCACAGGTCTTACTTGTTGATGAGATGAGTTTTGCAAGCAACTGGAAAGTTGCAAGACAAGGGCTAGGCCTGGTTTGCATGGTAGTGAATTACCCAACTGAGAGCCCGCTGCAGAGAACCTCCTGTTTCTAGACACTTATAGTTTAAACCCAGCCTTCCCAGCTGTACAGAGCCTGAAAAAGAATGCAGAAAAAGAAATAATTCAATTTGACTTTTCCATCATTTGCTCATGAAAGACATTAACAATAAAGTCAAGGCCAACAGCTTTTCATTATAATTCTCTTCCCTATGAGGCTGTAACTCATACTCTTCTGGGATGAGAAATATCTTGATTTGGGTCAATATGGCAAAATAACATTTACTGCCTTCAAACCCATACTGTGAAGTTGATGCATTCAATAGTTTACATGTTCTTTGCCAAGAGTTACTTTTGACGTCCGTGTTTTTGAAGCATTATTAGATGTATGCTGTCTCCGTTTATTATTTTAGCATCAGTTAAAACAAATTCTAATGCTGCAGTGGAATGTTAATGAAGATTTGTGTATTTTAGACAAATAAATTTCAGTATGCGTGGCTGTGACCCAGAGCACAATGAGGTAATCTATGGAATTGCCACCCAAGATCTGCCCTTAACATTGAGCCTGGTTTTATAATCTCTGATTTCCTCTTCAGGGCTATGACCAGGAGGAGACAGTACAGGGAAGTTGCCAATCTCCTGCAAGGTGTTGTGAATGTGTTAGAGCACTTCAACAAATATATGGGGATTTCACAGATACGACAGCTTTCCGAAAGGTAAAATGATCAGTCTTTGTGCACTTCACATGCCTGCGGGGAAAGGAAGTTAGAAAATGCATTGCACAGGGTAACTTTTCCAAGAATTTAAAGGCTGGATACATTCTTTACAATTTATATCCAGCCAAAATGGATAGTTTAAAATTGGATGCAACTGGTTCATCTCTTTAACTGTCCATTTTATTCATAACAATGATTAATATGTATACAATTCACAAATGACCTGAGCTTCCCATTGCCTGGCTTTTAATAGGCACAGTAATTAATTTATTAGCAGTGAACATTGTTTTATGTGACCTCATATGAATCAGTATTTGTAATAAACCCAGAGCTGATCTTTTCCACCACTTTCTTAGCCTCATGACTTTGGCCCAGAAGCGTAACACAAAGTAGAAGATACGTACATTTAAAACAAAATAATGCTCGGGGCCCGTTTCTGTCCTGACTTCCACCTGACTTCAATGGAGTTGCACAGAGCTTAAGTCAGGGCAGAACTTTTCCCCGTAGTGTTGAGTCTGGAGCTTCATGTGTGCCCGATTCCCATTGGTTCATGCAGCTGGAGTCGTCACTTTATTTCCCTCAAAATAACCAAATAAGGCTATACTGAATCCACTGAGTTTTGTATGGTTTCCACCTGAAACTGGCCCCACTTGGCTCTGAGCTCAGCAATACGAGTGCAATTGCGGTTTGCAGCCACCACCCCACCCAGGAAAAAAATAAATGGACAAAACATGCCTGGTTCTGCTATGAAACTTTTTCACCCAGCTTGGTCACGGTGCTGTTTTTCTGGAATTGATTTAACAACAAAATCCAAACTAGTGAGCTGAGCTTGTGGTCTTTCTCTACACTGCTGCATGGGATACTTAGCCTTGATCTCTGGTTCTGGTCTCTTCTTGAATTAGCAGTGTATCTTGTCACCCAGTACCACCCCCATCTAGCTGATTAAGGATCAGTATTGAGTAACCCACCCAAGCCTTCTTGGGGTGGGATGGCTTCAGTTGGGAATTTGAGGATGGGGCTGAGAAAATGTCTAGGAGACAGCTAGTGTGTTTTACCATCCCCCTCACTCCTTGGTGGTTAAAATGAACAACACTGAGTACAAAACTGCCTGAGACGGTGCTAAAGGCAGATCCAAAGAGTCAAATTAAACGTGTGCTGCTAGCGTTCATGCAGGGGATGGACTGACAATGTTTTCATAGTAATGTGAACTCATAGTCTTTACTTTAGCCTAATGTTTGCTTTTTTGCGTGCATGTGACTGCCATTCTCAGATATCAAAGCGGGGGCTTGCTATATGAGAGGGGCTTGGCGGAGCTCTGCAGATACAGTGTTTAGAGTGGCTTTGGGTGGCATCCTTCCTAGGGAAAGCAACTAGCAGTCCAAGGCAGTATAGGATTGCAGGCAATATTGATGTCATTGCTTGTGTGTGTCTGAACGCTGAAAACACACAGGCAGAATCTGACCGCTCCTCTGTACTGCACTGACCCTTCTTCCAAAAACCCCAGTGGGGGTGCATGTGTTCCACCCCAGTACTGCTCCCCTCAGCGTCTACCGCAGGGGTAGGCAACCTATGGCATGCGTGCCGAAGGCGGCACACGAGCTGATTTTCAGTGGCACTCACGCTGCCCGGGTCCTGGCCACTGGTCTGGGGGGCTCTGCATTTTAATTTAATTTTAAATGAAGCTTCTTAAACATTTTAAAATCCTTATTTACTTTACAAACAACAATAGTTTAGTTATATATTATAGACTTATAGAAAGAGACCTTCTAAAAATGTTACAATGTATTACTGGCACGCGAAACCTTAAATTAGAGGGAATAAATGAAGACTCAGCACAGCACTTCTGAAAGGTTGCCGACCCCTGGTCTACCGAGAGGCCTAGGGATAATAGGCGTATGTCCTGGTTTGACAGAGCACTTAAACGCAGGCTTAACTTCAAGCACTTGCTTAAGCTTCATCATAATCAGTGAGTTTGAAGCAAATTCTTAAATGCTTTACTGAATTAAGGCCATGGTCCATGTACGTGCCATACCCGAAATAGAAATATGCCCTTTTTCTTCTAGATTACTCCTGGTCTGCACAGTACCAATCCGCTGTGAGTGGGGAGCTGTGGATGAGACTATTGCTAGCCATTACACAGCCACATATTAATGCTGCTTTTGCATCTAATATACGTAATTGCTTATACAGTGAGCCAGAATTTGGCCCATGGTTCCTTTTCTAATGTGCAGCCATTTATTTTACAGTGGCTTGGACTGTAAAATGAAAACTTTTCGTAATGCCGGTAAAAAACACAATGGTATCAAGTCCTACCACAAAATCTGGTGGGGGCCGGGAAGAAAATCTTTTTCTGTTTTACTGCCTCTCTAAGATAAGGCTATTAGAAGCGTAGGGAAAGTCTGTTCTTACTATTTTTAAGATCCTCTTTGTGGGATTTTCCTTTCTCTGTTTAGACAGTTACAGACGCACCATCTGGTAAAGATAGAAGTGGTTGTTTGTGGGGTGAAAGAAGAGCTACACCCAACACGTTGCTAGGATCTCGTTAGTACTTGACAGGCAGCAACTTACTGTAAAATGATTTATTGTTCTGTAATATCTGACTGAGTTTGAGTACATGTGTCCATGTTCCAGCATGATTTGGATTTTGCATTTCTTTTCTCTTTCTTGCTTGGAAGTGTTTTAATGATGAATGTAACATTGAAGAAGATTTTCTAAGCTTTAACACTATTTTCATCCTTTCAAGTTATTGTTTTTGGTGTACCCATTCATTTGTTCTTTGGATTAACAATCAATGCAACCCAAAGTGGGTTGAGGGGCCTTGCATGTTTGTGAAATCAAGCAATGCCTCTTAAAAGTAGAGTTGGATGAAGAACGACAACAACAATAATCATTTTGAATATTTTACTTGTTAAATTGCTACATGACTATTTGACTAGTTCTCTTGTTCAGAGTGAATGAGATGAAGCCAAATGTGAAAACTTGGGAAAGAAAAGGGACAGCTGAACACTACTGGGTGGATTTTCGCAAGAAATATGGTTTTAATTTAGGTTCTTGCTGCTTGATGTTGCCAAACTTAATTGTATGTCATTTAACTGTTGTATTTCTACAGTTCTTGGTAAGTAACTCACCAGGTGCTTTATAAGAGATTTGGGTAGATCCTCTTCTATTCGGGTTCTTGTCCTGATGCTTTATATGGATCTATTGAGCGTCAGATTTTGCATTCAAATTCAGCTGATATTTTTTCCAGCCATGCTTCTTAAAACAACTACTTATGGTGTATTAAAGGATGCTGATTACAGTAAATAGAGATACTGTTATCTCTCATTTCTGCTCTGCTTTCTATCTGCAGAGGGAGGATATAATTAGTGGTGAGAAACCCACCCATGAAAATGGTTTAAAAAGATTTGCAGATAGTGAGGGGAAAAAGCCTGGAAAATATTTAGAAGAGACATAATTATAAGTCTACCACAGAAAAACAGGCTAGTTCAGCCTCTTTTTATCTCAGCAGGCTGCCAGGCGCAGTCTAATATTTCTGGTAGCTTTGGCAAAAGGAATTGTGGCTTCTAGTAATTTACTGTTATTTGAAACTTAGTAAAGTTATTAAAAAAAAAAAAAAAGTAGGGGTAGGGGGGTAGGAGAGAAACAAAGCCTTTGCTAATACCCATGTAGCCAAAGGTTGAAGGCGTGTGCGAGCAGCCATAGCGAAATGCCCAGTCCGGGCTATTTAGGTTCAAGGTGGCTGCTCTGTGACCGTCCCAGCACTTGCTGGGAATCAGGTAAAGAAAGGTTGTCAGCATAAAATAAGCATTAATAAACGTCCAAAACTGAGTTAAACTAGCAACATCTGGAATGGCTAAAACTGCTGAAATTTTTAACTTCTGATTTATATTTCACCATCGATGCTATTGGTTTCGTCTTTGCATTTCAGCTTGGGCACTGAAACGAGACAAGACCGTAGTTTTACAAACGCTTAAACGTGTGCCGTGTTTTACATGTGCAAATAGGCCTGGGACTGCTAACATGAGTGAAGTCACTCAGATGTGTAAGTGTAGCCGGACTGAGGCCTCACTCACTACACTTCCTGTTTCCCTGTACTAATATTTTGAGTTTGTCACAATGAGGGGAATGTTTAATAAAGTATCACAAAATCACACCTGTCATCCTTGATATCTTTTAAAAAGAAGAGATTTCTGTTTGTTAGATTTAGTTAAAATCTATTTTAAAGCTTTGATTCAGCAAGGCACATGCATAACTTTTAGCATGTGAGCACTCCCCTGGCAGTCACTGGGACTACTCACTTGCTTAAAGTTAAGCACAGCCTTAAGTACTTTTCTGAATTAGTGCCTAAAACAACAAATTCCAAAATTGGGTCTATAACTACTTGACAGGGCCTCTTTAATTCGTTCAGCCTTTTAGAAGCCAGCAGTTCTCCTATTCTGAGGTTCCTTTGTACTTTGTATTTCAGCTGGAGTCAAATGCTGATATTACTGTATCCTGTCAAATTTAAGGAAACGGGAATTACAGCAAACAGGTCCACATGTTCATATAAAGTCTCTTATTCACATGGCTCCAGACATGTTTTGAGCCCAAAAGCTTGTTTGTTAGCCCATTAAAAGATGCTGCTTTCTCAATCCACTTTTTTTTTCTTGAGGATCCTATAGTCTTTCCTCACATAAGTTACTCATCTGACTTAAACAGGGTTACACCCATGAGTAAGGGCTGATGGTGTGGGCCTCTCTGTTGCTACAATTTCCCCCTATAGTTTTATTATATTAATATAATTCCTTTCATATCTGGACTAGAGCTGGTTGGAAATGTTCCGACCAAACAGAGTCAGTCAGCCCTGGGGAGCAGCTGGCCTAGGAGGCCGAAAGCCTTGGGGTCTATAGTGCAGCATGGGAGTGACCCTGCCAGCCTGGGCAACCAATGACTGACATTGATGTGAATCTTGTCAATTTCAGTCAGCTGCAGCTGGGATTCTGAGGAGCATATTTTGTTTCAGAAGCACCTTGTACTGGTGTTTCCAAAAGGATTTCTCTCTTCTCCCCCCCCCACCCCCCCCGCAAAATGTCCAGTTCTCAGGAAATTTCAAAATTTGGTGCAAGCCAGAAATCCCAAATTTCAGCCAGCTCTAAGCTTGACCACAAAATAGAAGTATGACTGTAGATCTGAACCTGGAGTGTTTTTGTATAAACTTTCAAATAGCACCGGACAGCAAAGAACGTAAGTGAGAATTGCGTTCAACGTTGCAGGTGGAAAGCTTTTTGAAGGAAGATCCATCTAAATAAATCAGGGAAAAGCAGATCATATTGTGAGAGCAGTACCTAAATATATACATACAAACAGAAAATCTCACCATAATTTTTACTGATACGGATTTTTCTGCATTTCAGCACCTAAGGGAAAATGACAGTTAAAGAATCCCACTTTGTTATTGTCACTTCTTGTAGCATTTCAGCTATTGCTGGAACTGAACTGGGAATATTAAAGAAGCAAATCCTTCTTAGATATGGCTGGAGGGTCTTTTTAAACAATCCAAATCCACACTCAATAAACGTTTAAAAAAAAAAAAATCCCAACCACTCTTGCTAACATATCTGTCTCTATGGAAAAATCCACAGTTTTGTATAATCCGTTTTAGTCCTTAAAGCAGTTCCAGTACAGTAAAAAGTGATGGAAGGTTTCAAGGGTTGCAAAGGGACTTAAGTGCTTAACTATTTACTTTGGCACATTCCAGAATGTGTAGGCATTTCCATTTCTCTAGAAGAATCAATTAAGCCCTGTCAACTTTTATTTCTGGAAGTTAGAAGCTTTGTTCTCTCAGCTAAGTCAAACAAAAGATGGATCTTGTATATGGCTCTTTAAAGAAAACAAAAGATTGAGTTGTTTAAACATTTCCACCCTCTTGAAGTCCTAGCTTTTTCATTCTCCTAAAGAAATAAAGGACTTATTATGTGTGACCGTAGTCAAATGATACTCAAATGGAGGTATTTAACAATAGGTCAGTCCACCTGGGAGCTGTGAATAATTCCACTCTGGAAACAGAGGTTTTGTGAAGCCTTTTATACATTAAAAATACACTTTTAATTAAAATATCAATGGTGCACATGAAGATAGAGGCCTAGATTGTCTGCCTATGTAAACTGGTATAGCTCCATTGGAGTTAAAAGAACTACTTTGATTTATACCAGCTGAGAAACTGATCCAGAATGACAGCACTAATTTATAAGGGGGGGATTAAAATCAAGGATTTCTTCCATTAGAACTTAATAAACATTGTCACAGCACTGACTTGTTAGCCAGATGTACTTAGCCCCCCTCCCCCCCCAAAATCCCACCTGATCCAGTTTTGATGAAATAGCCTACATCATGTAGATATTACTTTAATCTATGCTACATTTTTGTGTATTTTCATCTAGCTGCTTGGGTTGAAGAGCATGTTTTAGCAACATTTGTAGATTTCAAACACAAAACAACTAGTTGTAATTCCGGGAACAAAGTAATTGCTTGCTCTTTCTCTGGCAGGGTAAAGGCTGCCCAAAATGAGTTAGGACAACAAATCTTGGCAGATTTTGAAGAAGCTTTTCCTTCCCAGGGCACAAAGGTATTGTGGCTTTTTTCTCCCTCTAATGAACAGTCTGTTGTTCAAATGAAATGTCAAGCATAGTCATCTTGGGCTTTTATTTACTATTTGATCTGTGTGTGACTTCTTTTGTTTTAGGAGATATTTTAGAAAGAAACTTAGTCTCCTGAGTGGTAGTGTAATGCGTGTAATTTTCTTACTGTTTTCCATCAAGTAAATGTATGTAAATAGGATGACATTCAATAAAGACAAATGCGAAGTACTCCACTTAGGCCTGGTCTACACTACGACTTTAATTCGGATTTAGCTGCGTTAATCCGAATTAATCCTTAACCCGTCCACACAACGGAGCCAGTTACTTCGAATTAAAGGGCGCTTAAAATCGATTTCTGTACTCCACCCCGACGAGCGGAGTAGCACCAAAATCGATTTTGTAAATTCGAATTAGGGGTAGTGTGGCCGCACACCACTGAATTAATGTGGTTAAAATTAATGGGGTAGTGTGGCCGCACACCACCGAATTAATGTGGTTAAAAACCGAATTAATGTGCTTAGTGTGGCCGCGCACAATCGAATTTATACAATCTGTTTCCCAAATTCGAATTATCTAAATTCGAATTAATCTCGTAGTGTAGACGTACCCTTAGGAAGGAACAATCAGTTGCACACATACAAAATTGGAAATGACTGCCTAGGAAGGAGTACCATGGAAAAAGATCTGGGAGTTATAGTGGATCACAAGCTAAATATGAGTCAACAGTGTAACACTGTTGCAAAAAAACCAAATATCATTCTGGGATGTTTTAAGCAGGAAAAAAGTAATTCTTCTGCTCTACTCCACGCTGATTAGGCCTCAACTGGAGTATTGTATCCAGTTCCGGGTGCCACATTTCAGGAAAGATGTGGACAAATTGGAGAGAGTCCAGAGAAGAGCAACAAAAATGATTAAAGGTCTAGAAAACATGACCTATGAGGGAAGATTGAAAAGATTGGGTTTGTTTAATCTGGAGAAGAGAAGACTGAGGGGGGACATAACAGTTTTCAAGTACATAAAAAGTTGTTACAAGGAGGAGGGAGAAAATTTTTTCTCGTTAACTTCTGAGGACAGGACAAAAAGCAATGGGCTTAAATTGCAGCAAGGGAGGTTTAGGTTGGACATTAGGAAAAACTTCCTAACTATCAGGGCAGTTAAGCACTGGAATAAATTGCTTTGGGAGGTTGTGGAATCTCTGTCATTGGAGATTTTTAAGAGCAGGTTGGACAAACACCTGTCAGGGATGGTCTAGATAATACTTAGTCCTGCCTTGAGTGCAAAGGGCTGGATTAAATGACCTCTTGAGGTCCCTTCCAGTCCTACAATTCTATTAATATGTTCTGGATCAGGCCTTCGGGGTTGCAAGAGCAGGCCCTTACCTGTCACTGTTTATCTTGTTGGTTCACTTTTTGCATTTGTCCCTTCCAGTCCTGTGATTCTATGTGAGAGATGTGGGGTTAAGTTTATCTCACGGTATTTTAGATCCATACTAGGTAGTTGTGAGATTGCAATCAATTTCATCTGGCATCTACAGGATCCTTATTGCAGAGTAAAACTAAAGTGTGCTTGGATGAATCAGAAGCATATTGAAGTGAGCAGAGGACAGAGCTCGGAGCCTGGATTTTTCTGAACTGGAATTGTGGTCAGGGCTGCCCGGGGGGGGGGGGCGGGCAAGTGGGGCAATTTGCCCTGGACCCCACAGGGGCCCCCACAAGAATATAGTATTCCATAGTATTGCAACTTTTTTTTATAGAAGGGGCCCCCAAAATTGCTTTGCCCCAGGCCCCCTGAATCCTCTGGGTGGCCCTGATTGTGGTTCAGCCACTGACTCAAGTCACTTAATTTTACTGCTTCAGTTACTTCAGGGGTTCTCAAACGGGGTTGGGACCCCTCAGGGGGTCGCGAGGTTATTACATGGGGGGTCACGAGCGGTCAACCTCCACCCCAAACCCCACTTTGCCTCCAGCATTTATAATGGTGTTAAATATCTAAAAAAGTGTTTTTAATGTATAAGGGGGGGGGGGTCGCACTCAGAGACTTGCTGTGTGAAAGGGGTCACCAGGAAAAAAGTTTGAGAGCCACTGAGTTACATCATCTGTTTTAATGGGGTTAACTTTACCTCCCTCACAATTGTGGTGTTGGGATTAATTAGCACTTTAAAACATTAACTGTTAATATTTGTTTTTCTTTTTAAATAGCCATAGATACTCATTCAATATTCCTGTATCCTCTCCCTGTGACCATAAATAATAATGTCTTAGAAACTTAGCAAAACAGCACTGGAAGGGACCTTCTGGGTCATCAAGCCCAGTCCCCTGCTGTTGCTGGCAACCCAATATCATCCTGTTCATAAATGTATCAAGATCCAGATTTATCAAAACTAGTTAGACTGTTTGTCCTCACTACCCCTAGTGGAAAGTTAGGTTGGGTAAGTTCTCGTGCTGTTTGGATAGTGTAGAGGCTGCTGAACGCATTACACGCCTCTATGATATTCTGCCTGAGCCAAATCTGGCGCTTTATGGGCTACGGTGCCGCTGAGGGACAGGTGCGTATTGATGACATCTAGACACATTGCTTTAGTTCTTCTGGCGCTCTTTTCCATCCTGCTTTCGCTGGGTCAGTCCCAGTGGATTCCCGCAGGGAACTTGGTAGGCACGTGGAGCAGATCATACTGCTTCAGAGAGCATTGGGTGACCATTTGAGAGAGTGGGACCTGTTCAGTTAGAAAACGGATCCTTTCATCCAACTGGAATTCATACTATTTGATGTCTTTGATCATTCGGAGAGGCTGCATCTGGATGGTGTCCTATTGGAAGGCTGCCTAGGAAAACACTTTTCATGGTTAGAAACCTTCTTCTAATTTCCAGATTAAACTTATTCATGACCAATGTATACCCCTTTCTTCTTGTGCTAACGTCCGTTAGTCTAAATAGCTGTTTACCCTCCTGATGTATTTATAGAGAGCAAGTTCTTGTGCTTGGTCCCAGCTTTTAATAATTCTGGGGAGGCACCCAGCTGATTGTCTGTGCATGGCTCTCCTACCATACTCTCTACTGAGCTTACCTAGCAGCCACCAAAAGTCTTGTTTACAAAAGACAATACTAGCAAGAAAGAAGTTCGTCCCAAGGGGAGGCTCTGACTGTCCAGACTTCGCAGAGCAGAGTGGCTGGCTGCAGTTCACATTTCTTTCCCTAATTCAGCAATCTGCCTCATGAGCTCTACCTGCTGCTGAAGTGTGCGTGTATATGGATTGTAAAAGTTAGCCAGGCCTCTCGGCTCCATTGCCAGTCCTTGGAGCAGCATAAAAATGAAAACCCCACTATGCTGCAATGAGCCGGTATGTTCGTGCATACTAAGAAGCAGAAGTCCAGCAATAATTTTGAATTACTGTTTGCTCAGTGGAGAATTTGGATTCCTTGCACGGGAGGAGCTAACTCTGTCTTCCAAAATACCACCACTGCTCCTTGACCATGTACCTAATAAATCATTTGCCTTGTCTCTTCAAGGAACTAACAGACAAAGAGACCCGCAGTTTCATTGCCCAGGGACATGACCCATGAATACAACAGAGTCTCATCAGTTTCATGGTTTACTTTTAATATTTTAAATGAGCACCTGAAGGTGCAGTTAATGTCCTAATTTTTTTTCCTTCTCTGGTGGCCTGGGCTCAAATCTGGCTTATTTGTCAGAAACAAAACGAGTCTTGTAGCGAGAGGGTTGTCCACATCAAAGATCATAGCAGTAGCAGATCCTGGTTAGGAGCAGTTAAAGTGTGTCGCAGGTCATGACTGAATTGTGATGGCAAGGCTGTGTAAAGGAAGCTTGCAAAGTGGCAGCCCGCCAGTCTCTGGCTTCTGACCACTGTTGTCACTGTCGCTTTAAAGAGCTCTTATTTTTAATTTAAAAATTCACTTCCAAGGTCAGATCCTCAGCTGGGGTCAGCTGTTATAGCTCCATTAAGACCAGCAGAACTGCACTGTTTTACAGATCTAGGCCACGTTTTTTATAAAAGGTAACAACATTGGGACAGGCACTGTCTCTTTGTTCTGTACAGCACCTCCCACAGTGGGCCAAGACTGGCCTGCTTGGCGCTATGGGGATGCAAAAGATGGTGATAATACATGTAACAATGCTTAGACTTGTTTTACTTCTTCTTGCTTATCCCTCCTGCAAAGCCTAGAGTTCTCTGAGAATAAAGCACCTTTCATGCAGATGGGCCTCAAAACACTTTAGAAATGTTACTAAGCCCTTGTTCAAGTATAGGGATCGCTTTGCCCACCACTGCACTGGTGGAACGCAGCAGATGTTTAAGAACAGGGATTGCACAATGGCAACCTTACTTCAAGCTCATTGAAATCAATGGAGAGGCTTTGGAATTGCCCCTGAACGAAGAGTAACTCTGTGTCCAATTGAAACTCCCCTGGGGCGTGGGATTTTACTGAAGATGCTTCTAAGCAACTGTGATGTTTGCGGTCTTCTGCAGTAAAGCTGTGGTACGTGCCAATATCGGCCAGCAATCAAATAACTTTCTAAATGTTGAAGCTTTGATCAACTCCTGTCTGCTTTTTATTTTTATTTTATATTTTGGCCGTCCGTGTGGGTGGGAACACGTTTGCTTGTCCCAGGATTGCTTTGTTAGCCCTCCTTCTTCAGAGAATTATTCTGTGTATAGTGAAGGGCTTAACAAAAATGATGTGCTGAGCTGGCTGCGCTTTTCCAGCAGGTAGCAATCGAGTTGTCAAGCCACAGGGCACCTTTTGCTGAGAGATGTTTCATTGTTCATCCACCAGAACCCAGATACCTGAGCGTCAATAAGCAGGGGCAGCAGCAGCAGTGGTGGAAAAAGGGAACTAATAGTAGAGGACAAAAACAAGATGAAGCTACAAAAGCCAGTAGATTTTGCAATCTCTCCTTTAGGCTTTTTGGCTAGTAAACCTTTTGTTCTTGTTTATTTTGACAGAGGCCTGGCGGACCCAGCAATGTCCTCCGTGATGCATGTCTAGTTGCTAACGTCTTAGATCCCAGAATCAAACAGGAAATCATCAAGAAATTTATTAAACAACACCTCTCGGAATACCTGGTACTTTTCCAGGAAAACCAAGACGTAAGTGGAACACAGCATGCTGTGGTTGGATTTTACGTTTTGCAAAAGAAACAGATTTTGCTTTGTTGGCAGCTACTAATTTCATACTTACCCAGCTTGATTTTGTAATATTTGTTTCTGAACTAACTGTGTCAGAGATGAGTAACGACTTAATGATGTGCTATTGAGTGGATGATGATTTAGGAGACGTGGTCTTGGGCTGTACTTTTTCCTTCTAGCAAGGAACCTGCAGGCAACTAGTGGCCCAAGGGCCAGAGTTTGAAAGCCAGCTGAAAATGGGAATCCAGGAATTCCTAAACTCTAATCCCCCTGACTTCCTCAGGGGTTTCAAATTCCCCTTCTCTAAAACGGGAATAATATGTACCTTGCTGGGAATAAATGAGAGAATGGGTGAGATTTTCAAAAGCACCTGAGTGATTTAAGAGCACAACTCCCATTGACATTCAGTAAGACTTGTGCTATTAAATCACTTTGGCATGTCTGAAAATCCCTCCTGTATTTAAGAAGTCTGAAGATGTGCTAAGTATTATTTTTGTTGTTCAATTCCATATGACTTCAAGTTTCTTAGCCCCGCTTCTTCTCTAAAGCACTAGAATATACTTAGGCAACATGTCTAAATATTAGCAGCTGCAGGACTGTACAGTGTTCTTCATCTCATTCAGGTCGCCTGGCTAGATAAAATTGACAGACGCTATGCTTGGATTAAACGTCAGCTGATGGACTATGAGGAAAAGTACGGGCGTATGTTTCCGCAGGAGTGGTGCATGACGGAGCGTATCGCCGTTGAGTTCTGCCATGTTACGAGGTGAGCACAAACAGTGAATTTTGCTAAGAGGGCATACTGTAGCAATCAGTGTTTTTCGCTGAGTTGATGGCAGATCTGTAGGATTTTAAAATGCTGCAGCTAAATGTCTTTGTAGAATGGCTACTGCTTGGGACTTACAAGGGGAAAAAAATGCTGTTTAGGTGATAATCCTGAAAGAGAATCACAGAAATACATTTAATACACAGATATTGATATAAAAGGAAAAACAACTTCCCTGCAGCAGAGCTGTAGATAAGTAACGTGGTGGGGAAGCCTGGGACTGCCATCTCACAGAGCTAGCTCCTTGAAAGCCAATTCCCCCCAGGAGACCGAAAAGTATGCGCCAACCAAGGTCCCCAAAGCCCTCGTCCCTGCTGCTGTTCTCTGACCCCCATTATAAGCACTGCTCTTGCCAAAGCTTTGTTACTGTAGGGTTTTCTGGCTAAGAAGAGTACGTTGGATGTAGGGGCTGGTGTCCTGTTACGCACAAACCTCACAACAACTGTGGGTATGAATTCTGAAACCTAATCTGTATGGGAGGTTAGTAGTTAAATGAGAATGGCTTAGGAATTAACTTGGAATTTAGTGATGAGAGCTGGTTCGCTATAGGAACTGGACTGAGTTACGACCATAAGCTTCAAATCTTTTTCTTAATATGTGCAGAAGTAATTGATAGTTCTCTTCAAGCAGGAAATCACATCCTTCATTTCCCTCCCTCTCCCTTTCAGGACAGAGCTTGCTAAGATCATGCGCACAAGAGCTAAAGAGATTGAGGTGAAATTGCTTTTGTTTGCCATTCAGAGAACGACCAACTTCGAAGGGCTGATGGCTAAACGCTTCTCGGGGTGCACTCTGGCTGACGGGACCGTGGTAAGGAAACTTCTAAAGAACAGCCCTACAGCCCCAGCTGTTACAGGAAGAAACTCCCATCCTCCACTGTAACTGGGGCAGTGAGGTGCTATAAAGGATATCTTTTGAAAGCCCTCCTCTACTCCAAAGATGTTAGCCCAGAGAGTTTGTGTGGTGGTGGGATCCTGGGGCACAGAGGACCCCCTTCCTCTCCTATCTCTTGAGATGCATGGTTCTCCTACTTCAACTCTCCTACGCCTCTTGAATTAAATTACAGCTGAAGCCCCTTTGTTATGAAGAACCACCACATAATTGTGCCGCAGTGTGTTCATCATGACACAAGTTTCTTGCACACTGATGCAACATCCTCACTGAACCTTTTCCCCTCTTCTCAGAGCTCCTTTCCAATTACTGCCTGGGAAAGGTCCCATCCCGCCTTAGCTGTGGGGTTTACTCTTATTTGCTGGGGAAAGCGGCTTTGGGACAGGATCCTGGCAGCTTGCGTGCTGCCTTGTCTCATTTCAGTGTCCCGAGCTCTGTCTGTTACCAGCATGTCCAGTAGCTTAGGGAGTGTCCTGGGATTGTCACTCTGCTTTTTCTGCCTGGAATCTAAGCTGAGCAAGTGGAGTGCTAATCAAATGCTGCCTAGACAGCACAAATTCCAGATGTGGCTCAAAGACCGTGAGTTTGAGGAGCACTGCTCCGCACTGTTCATCTGCGGAGGCCTGTTTGGACTCTTGTCTTTGAGGGAGCTGTGTAGGTGTAATGGATGATGGATTGAACCGTTGCTCTTTGCTGCAATGCAGTGGATGATGCCAGTTAAAGGGGGAGTTCTTCAATTGATTGATTAGAGAGTTCTTAACAATCTGATTTTTCATTTTTCCAGAATATTTATTATCCAATGTGCTGTTAATTATCTGACTGCATTGGGTTGCTCTCATTATCCCTTCAGAAACGGGATGCACGGGAGCGATTATAATTGAAGAACAACAAAAGAGGAGAGAAGAGGGTTTGAAATAAGGAAAATTAATTTCTTTTCCTGGCAGCCTTTCTCCCACTTCTGATTCTATTTAGGGACCATGAAGCCCTGGATTGCTGTAATCTGAACTCTTTTTAAACATAAAACAAAGCATGTAATTATATACGGGTATACGGACAATACACAGTGGAGACGACTGGCAGAGGGGAGCTGTAATGCAGGATTTGCTGCAGCAGCACTGTTCTCATGTCTGTAGTTAACTGTTGTGTCAGCAATTCTGTCATAAAGCCCCTGTTTAAAGAGGTTACAACCAAGTCTTGCCAATGCAGTCTGGGCAAGACTTGGCCAATGTAGTAGGTGGGCCCCTTTTGAATGGTAGGAGTGTAACCAATAAAGCCCCATTCTGGCTTTGCATGCTTTGTAGTGTTTCTGTGAGTTACAAGGAGCTTGCAGAGGTTTCCTGTGTGAGGAGTGCACAGATGATGAGGTGCCACCTCACTTTCTACCAAGCCCGCTGGAGACCAGAGGGCAGAACCCTCAGCTGGCAACGATGAACGACACTGCCACCAGCAGCAGAGTTTAGTCCCTTTCCTTGGAGCTTTTGTGCACCGAGTCGTAAACAAAAGATTCCAAATAAAACCAAGCAGCCCAAGAACAATGCATCCTGATTGCGGGAGCCCTTTCTAGCTTCGTAGCCTGTTGCGGGGGAAAGAACACTTGAGCGAGCCATGCCATAGCCACTTGCTCTCTACCTTTCTGTGCCCACCCCCATTACTTTTGTGGCAGGCAGATCTCTGGGTTAACCCTTCATGCACTGGGGCTGGCTACCATATCACACTCTCATACCACTTGTGATTTGCCCCATAGCACAGTCTGTCTTGGCTGGCTAGGCCAGTTTGGAAACCATGTGATTTGGAGTCTCACATGGGGATATTCTCCCCATCTCTATATTTCCACCTAGGCCTGACCAAGAAGTGCTTTATGGGGTTGCCCTCCAATGGGAGCCACTCTGGTCCCCTTCCCCTAGCAGGCTCTTTACCCTCTCTAGCCTCTTAGTGCCTCCACAGCACCATTCGCTCGTCAGCCAGCAAAGACCAGTGCTGGCACTAGTTCAAACTCTGCTTCTTCCCTCTTGAGTGTTTAGCACCAGTTCTGGGCTCTGCTTCTAATGCTTGATGGAGCAGCGAGCAGAGTGTGGAGCCCTGAACCGTGACCCGCTGACCACCCAGCTTGCTGGCTATTAAAGATCCCAGGGCTAATTTGGGGAGAGTAGGAATTTGTTGTGGTCTCATTAGCCAGCATTTCCCGTCCTGAGGTGCATTGGCAGAGTGGTTGAAGTTGGGGAGCCCAGCACTGGAACAGAAGGGCATGCCGCATGTCAGGAGTGAGATGCATTGATAGTGCAGAGGCGGAGGATAGAGGACTAGACTTTAGTTCTCGCAGGAGGTCAGGATTGAGGCGCATTGCACGTAACACTTGGCAGTACTCCTCACCGTCAGTCTTCCACTTTATTGAGCCTTGAATTCATCTCTGCATTTTTACGAAGCAGATCCCTGGCTGATACTTGCTTTCGATGTTCTGTGATCATCCGGGATCTGTAGGTTTATTCCCATAAGACAATTGGGCAGTGAGGGGAGATGCAGAAAGGGCTTAGGAAGGCAAAGCGAGAATGCAGCAATGTGGCTGATATCCCAAAAGGAAACTTTCTCTCCCTTTACTGACTTTCTTTTTTTAACAGAAAAAGGCAGAGCTGCCACCTCCCTCCACCAACCCATTTCTGGAAGATGAAAGTGGGACAGAGACAGACGAAACTGTGATAGAGAAAGGCGATATAGATAGAGTAAGTCTTCCAAGTTCCTTATCTGCAAACAAAAGAGTCCCAGTTTCTGAGACTCTCTGGAAGTCCCTAAGCTTTTTTTTCCAAATCTATTTGAGAAGTTCATTGTCATTGCCACATGCTTAGCGTGATCTTGGTCCAACAAATACTTCGTAGTAATGGTCCCTCACTTGACACATCTCCCCATGTGACTTCAGGTCATAGGTGCTCACTTTATTGAAACAAACCGGTTTTACTCCTCCAAGGTAGGGAGAATGAGCTGGGTTCTAGTCAACCTTGCATGTCACCAACAAGGTCAGCAGCTGAAGCGTAACCGCAGAACCTTTACTGACAAAAGACACCAGAATACAGTTGGGTTTTCAGATCCTAGATGATGATTGCTGTGCTGGCCACAGAGAAAGCCAGCCACAAGGAAAGGTGTTGGGGAGGGAGTAAAGTGTAGGAAAAACTGAGGGGATTCTCACGGGTGCCAGAAGGCAGGCGAAGGACTAAATGAACTGCAGAACCAGCCCCTGTTTTTAATGAACAGCTGAATGTACTAACTTGTCAGAAGGCAATTCAAATATTTCTGAGCAGGGAATTGTCTAGTTCCCAGCATGCAAGGAAGCTGGTTTCCTTCCTGAAATCAAGTCTGTGCCAGCTTGTCATGCTATTCCGTGTAGTGCTGTTTGTGGGGGAGGGAGCCCCACTTTTGGCATTCCCCAGATTACTACGCTTGAGAATGGCACCATGATTGGCTGAAGCTGTGAATGCACTCAGCAAAGCCCCGCCCAGCTGAGGCACACCTGGGAAGGAGGTTTGCTCCTAGGCAGCACTCGGTGGCTAACACTTGCACGTTATATATTTCACTCGCCTTTGCTGGCAGGAGAGGAGCAGAAAAAGGAAAGGGTGGAGGGGGCTGGGAGGCAGAAAGCCTCTAAGATATTAGTGCTGGTGACTGAGGACACATGTAAGTGGAAGAGGGCTACTAGAGGGAGCAGAAGAGTGAGGGGAAAGAAATCAAAGAAATCCACCTTAAAAAGAAACCCTTCTGGTGATCCTAGCGGTTAGATTTAATCTGTTTACTTTGGATAGTAATAAAAGGAAACTGGGCCAGCTGCAGACTTCCTTACTGTGACAACAGTAACCTTTTATTAGTCCATCAAACTCCAGGAGGAAATAGCTTAAACATCTGCAGCTCTTGGACAGCACTCATGCACTCTGAAATACTGCTTCACTGCTACTGTTAGAAGATTTAGTAGTCTGTCTCTCTCAGCCATGCGGGGTGCAGGATGATGCAAAGACTGAGAGAGAGACACACACACAGACACACACACAACCTCTGCTTTAATCCAGCTCTTCCAGCCACAGGAACGGTAAACATCACTAGCCTAGTAAATCCCTGATTCCCTGCTGCACAAGGTGGTCCTGTCAGAGCTCCTGAGACCTCTGGGAACGGTGCGTTTTAGAAATGCCACCCATTGCTTTCTTCCCAAAGCTGAGGAATGTACACCCCCAGCTGGAATGCACAGGCGCTGGCAAAGCACAGGATCGGGGGGTTGCTGGGCAGTTGCTCTCTCCCAGCGTCGTAAAAGCTCGCATTCCCCAATGTCGTTGTTCGTGAAAAGGTTAATGAAACCAGGTTCATGGAGTGTTCTGGCCTCCATAAATCGTTGGTTCACGTAGGCTTTGCAGCCACACGTTATTACTCATTTTTGTGTGCGCTAGTCTTGATTATTTCTCTGAAATGCTGGCGTTTCCAGTCTCTGTGCACATTCCACAGGTGACCCAGTGCCTCCTTGTCTCTTGTTTAGGAAAGCACATGGGAAAGAGCTCTCTAGTTTCTTTTCTTAGGGTGAAAAGGCTTTTTCAAAGTGGAAAACTCAGCTCTTCATTGGCTGGGCATTGGACCCAAGTCTCTGGCAAGGGAAGTGAGAATTCTGCCACTGAATCACCAATGCTTTTTTTGCAGGCTGTGAAATTGTCTGGTTGCTAAGAAATGGAGACAACAGCAGAAAGAGTCAATATCAACATTTTAAAATTCTAGATATGGTACAAATATTTGTAGCCTTTCAAGCCCTAATTCAGCATTCCCCTTAAGCATGTGCGGAACTTTAAACACACGAACAGCCCCACTGGGACATGCTTACACTCTTTGCTGAATCAGTGAATGAGCTGGGCTTTGGAAATGTAGACTCACAGAAAGGAGGAGGTGCCATGGTTGTGAGTAAGGCTCGGCACATTAAAAATATTTTATGTCATAAAATGAGAATAAGACCGATGACCCCAAATTGTGCATGTACTTAATGTTGCAAATCTGACATGAAAAATAGTATTTTTAGTGATAATTTTAAAACATAACCTCCTTCCACCCATAAAATATGTTGTCACAGTGAAAGAGATCATACAGCCCTCTGTGCATTGATAATTGCAACTCTTGGAATTGTGATCTGCTTACCTAAATTCCACCTTAGTATAGTGTATTTCATGTCTTAAAATGTAGGCATGTGTTCATTTAATTATATTTGGTGAATCAGAGAATATCAGGGTTGGAAGGGACCTCAGGAGGTCATCTAGTCCAACCCCCTGCTCAAAGCAGGACCAATCCCCCAATGGCCTCCTCAAGGATTGAGCTCACAACCCTGGGTTTAGCAGGCCAATGCTCAAATCACTGAGCTATCCCTCCCCCTATAGTAATACCTAGCTCTTCTATAGATCTCAAAGGGCTTTACAAAGGACATCAGTATTATCATCTGCATTTTTACACATGGGGAAATCGGTGCACTGACTTGCCCACGGTCACCCAGCACTCCAATGGTGGGAATTGAACCAAGGTCTCCTGAGTGCTAATCCAGTGTCACATCCATTAGACTATGCTGCTTCCTTTTAAACAGCTGCTGTGCCCATCTCTGATGGGGATGGCGTTTCCTTACTATTAACCAATCTTTACAACATCCCTATTTATTTGTAAAGTGCTTAGAGATCCTCTGTTGAAAGGTGTTATAAAAACACAAACTATTCTTTATTGTAAGAGAATTCTACAAGTCAAAAGACAACTCTCAGAAAGATCATACATTTATTTTACTACATGCGAGGAGGGGTTGAAAGCACTTGGGAAGACAAGATGTGAATTCAAAATGTCCTTGACACATTGGAGAATTGGTCTGAAATCAACATGATGAAATTCAGTGAAGACCAGCACAAATTACTTCACTTAGGAAGGAAAACTCAAATGCACAACTACAAAATGGAGACTAACTGGCTAGGTGGTAGTACTGCTGAAAAGGAGCTGCGGGTTATAGTGGATCATAAATTGAATACAAGTCAACAATGTGATGCAGTTGTGAAAAAAACTAATACAATTCTAGAGTGTATTAACAGGAGTGTTGCATGTAAGATGCGAAAGGTAATTGTCCTGCTCTACTCGGCGCTGGTAAGGCCTCAGCTGGAGTACTGTGTCCAGTTCTGGGCGCCACCATGCTTTAGGAAAGATGTGGACAAATTGGCGAGAGTCCAAAGGAGAGCAACAAAAATGATAAAAGGTTAAGAGAACCTGACTGATGAGGAAAGGTTAGAAAAACTGGGCATGTTTAGTCTTGAGAAAAGAAGAATGAGGGGGACGTGATAAGTCTTCAAATATGTTAAGGGCTGCTATAAAGATGACGGTGATCAATTGTTCTCTAAGTCTACTGAAGGTAGAACAGGAAGTAAAGGGCTTAATCTGCAGCAAGGGAGATTTAGGTTGGATATTTGGAGAGGCTTACTAACTATAAGTTAAACTCTGGAATAGACTTCCAAGGGAGGTTATGGAATCCCTGTCATTGGAGGTTTTTAAGAACAGGTTGGACAAACACTTGTCAGGGATGCTCTAGGTTTACTTGGTCCTGCCTCAGTACAGGATTTGATGACTTCTTGAGGTCTCTTCCAGCCCTACACTTCCATGATTCTATGGACATCTTAGGTTGTGAAGGGTCCAAACCAGGTTATATACGTTATTAGCAACACTTCATCTTTCAAAACAAATAAACCAGACAATTAAACACACAAGAATATTGCTAGATTGAGGCAAACCGTGACCCTCTGTACATTGTTGGTTATTTAGCAATAGAGTTCTGGGTTACAATAAAGTTCTAAAGAACATAAGTCCTGCTGTGCTATTTTAATTGCTGTTTTCTGTAGAAGTTTGATGGCAGGTTTGCAATCATTGTTCTAAATGGTTTCCTTGCAGCCCAAGAAGCCGAAGGCCCCGGACAACCCATTTCATGGCATCATTTCCAAGTGCTTTGAACCTCACCTCTATGTATATATTGAGTCCCAGGACAAGTGAGTAACAAGCATGCACCTTTTTTTTTTTGTCTTGACTGAATATGTATTATGACGAGGGTTTTCTCAAATTCTGCTTTGCTTGCTTTAATCAGCAACATCCTCCATCTCTTAGAAAGGATGTGATGTACAGAGATGGGCCTCCCAAAAAAAGAAACTGCAGAGGGATTTTTGTGTTTGGGACACACACCACGCTAGAAAATTCACAATGAAAGGTGGCCAAAATAGGGCCCACCAAGTCCTGTAACACAGTCTGTTGCTTCCTTGCCGAGAGATGTGACTCTCAGCATGCACCATTTTGACAGTCTGGGCTGCCAAACCACATTGCAGGTTCCATTAATTTCCGCACCTCTTGCTTCCTTATTTAAAAAGGAGAGTGGCTACCATTGGATGTTTGTATTCAAATCAGGAACAGAATTTAGGCTTCTGGTAAATTACTAGTGTGGCCTTGGGTTGGGCAAAGTTTGAATGCCCCTGATGTGATTGGATCATGGTGTTATCTCTAGTCCCATAGGCTTGGATCCATGTTGGTTTCTTGGGAAGCAGGCTTTTCTCCCGCAATATGAGCAATGAAGACTCAGAGCATAGTCAACTGCCCCTCCATGATAAATGCTCATCTTTCATCTCATGTCCTACACCTATAGTTTTGCTTATTAGTGTTTTGCACCTGACTTATCCTTGCTGTGCGTGGGTTTACCCCTCTGTAAAATGGATGTAACACCTACCTTACAGGGGTGTTCTGAGATTTGATGACTTGTATAAAGAGCTTCATATGAAGCGTGCTATGAATGTGCTAGCTATTATCAAATGTGTTTTCTGTCACTCCCAGCCCATCGCTTTGCTTAGTATCTGAGTCACCATAAACTATTAAAGCATCATCATTGTTTCTGACTCACTGCAGAATATTTGGAGATCCTTTGAATGGAAGATGTTCTAGCCTAGGGGCTTTCAAACTTTTCCATAGGCTTGACCACATCTTCATAGACAGTCTCCTGGGCACCTCCCCTCCCATTGGTGATCAAATAATGCCCCATGACAACTGCAGTGACTGATTACAGGGAAAAGTTATAATGGGAAAGTATTTAAAATAGTTTAGCTTCTTTTAATATAACTTAAGGGCTGGGGGAGCGGAGGAGGAGTCACCATCATGTGACCAGCCAGCTCCCTGAGGGCTACTAGAGGAGAGAAAAATGAATGGACTTAAACTGGATAAAAAAAAAAACAAGGAGTCCTTGTGGCACCTTAGAGACTAACAAATTTATTTGGGCATAAGCTTTCGTGGGCTAGAACTCCACGTTAAACTAGATAGAGGCTCATGGTGGTGATATAATTATTATTATTCATATTATCATAGCCCTAGGAGCTCCAGTCATGGATCGGAACCCTGCTGTGTCCCAGTTGCATTGAAATGCCAGGTAGCAATCCTGGGTCAGTTTTTCCATGTCCCATAAACCTTTTGTGCTTTAAAAAACAAGTGCAATAGTCTGCCCTTCTGGGGCTAGATTCCACTCGCACAGCAGAACAAAGGGAAATGTCTTTTTTCCTCCCTCTCCGCAAGCTAAACACCAAAGTGTATGAACATTCCACCCCCCTCCCTGCCCCCTTTGGCCAATTCAATCCCTGTTTTCAGTAATCCTACCCCACCCTGCTCCTGCTCTCACATTTTTTTCCTCCTATTTTCTTCCGCAGTCCCCAAGATGTTTTACATTAGCTTGATAGCTACAGACAGCAGGGAGTTCAAAGAAAAACTGCCACATTAGCCAAAAAAAAAAAAAAAAAAGTTTGCTTTTCTGTACAATCTTTTCTCCTGGGATTGAATTTTTGAGGGATCTGTTTGATTGATATCTGCATAGGGGATGTCTCTCAGAGAATTAATTGGGTATTTGGGCAGCAAATAGAAAGGATGGTGGGACAGAAGTGTTGTTTAGTGCTCCCTTAGTTCGTGGCAGAACGCAGCTGGTTCCTTTTCTGCTGGAAAATTGTTTCCATACCAGTGTGAAGAAACATGGTGCCAACATCTGTAGCAGTTTCTCAGGAGATACCTGGAAGAAAGCCTTTTAAGATTCGTGGGTTTTTTCCCCCAAGCTTGGTTACAATTAGAATATCAGGCATCGGATTGCACTTCAGTCTCTCTGGGATATAAGCGTCTGACTCTTATGCACAACTTCTGTGAGCGATATGAACAGATATAATGTTGGAAATAAACAAAGCTATATTATAGCAGAGCAGTAGCTCTGTTAAAGTTGAGACCTGCTAACTATTATCAACCAATATTTCTAAGGCCTGGTCTACACTAGGCTTTTATGTCGAATTTAGCGCCGTTATATCGAATTAACCCTGCACCCGTCCACACCACGAAGCCATTTAGTTCGACATAGAGCCCTCCTTAAATCGATTTCTGTAATCCTCCACAACGAGAGGAGTAGCGCTAAATTCGAAATGGCCATATCGAATTAGGCTAGGTGTGGATGGAAATCGACGGTAATAGCTCCGGGAGCTATCCCACAGTGCACCACTCTGTTGACGCTCTGGACAGCAGTCCGAGCTCGGATGCTCTGACCAGCCACACCCCGGGAAAATTTGAATTCCTTTTCCTGTCTGGGCAGTTTGAAGCGCAGTTTCTGTTTGGACACCGTGGCGAGCTCAGCAGCAGTGGCAGCAGTGGCAACGATGCAGAGCTCTCCAGCAGAGATGGCCGTGCAATCCAATAGAAAGAGGGCCCCAGCATGGACGGATCGGGAAGTCTTGGATCTCATCGCTGTGTGGGGAGATGAGTCCGTGCTTTCCGAGCTGCGCTCCAAAAGACGGAATGCAAAGATCTATGAGAAGATCTCTAAAGCCATGGCAGAGAGAGGCTACAGCCGGGATGCAACGCAGTGCCGCGTGAAAATCAAGGAGCTGAGACAAGGCTACCAGAAGACCAAAGAGGCAAACGGACGCTCCGGATCCCAGCCTCACACATCCCGTTTCTACGAGGCACTGCATTCCATCCTAGGTGCGGCCGCCACCACTACCCCACCCCTGACCGTGGACTCTGAGGATGGGATATTGTCCGCGGCCGGTTCCTCAGCGGACGGGGAAGAGGAGGAAGGAGATGAGGAGGACGAGGCAGTAGACAGCGCTTACAACGCTGATTTGCCCGACAGCCAGGAGCTCTTCATCACCCTGACAGAGATCCCCTACCAACCCTCCCCAGCCGTTACCCCAGACACAGATTCAGGGGAAGGATCAAGCAGTAAGTGTTTTAAATATCCAAACATTTATTTACAACATAACTGGCATATTTAAAATATTAACAGTAGCTAAAGTGCTTTAAAACATGTAAACATTTATTTGCAACAAAACAGGAAGATTGAAAATATTAACAGTGGGTAAAGTGCTTAAAAACATGTAAACAGGAAAGTCAAACAAAAGGGGAATCAGTGCAAAGTGTATCATGATTACTCCGTCTTTGGGCGCCTCAATATATAGTCCGAACCATTTTAAAAAAATCTCACAATGTCCGCTTCATGATTATAGTGCCCAAAACCCTGCAGTCATTTGTCCCTCCAAGGGCACCTAAGCCAAGAACTGGTCAATGTAACCGGGGATCGAGGCGACATCCTCCGGGGAGAACTCCTCATACACCTCCTGCAGGTGTTTTTCAAGCCTCATCAGCAGGTTCCTGGGCAGGGACAGCTTATTAGGCCCCCCGTGGTAGGACACGTTTCCCTGCCACAACGCCAGCAGGTACTCCGGGATCATGGCCTTGCACAGCAGTGCAGCAAATGGCCCCGGTTTCTGCAGGCTGTCCCGGAGCATCTTCTCCTTCTGGCTCTCGGAGACCTTCAGGAGGGTGATGTCAGGCATGACTCCCTGCTGTGAATTAGGTAGGGGAAAGTTAGTATTGGGACTGCTTGCCCGTCCCTTTACAGAACTGCAACCGCCGGTTTACAGCCACGCGGTTTACAGCCGCGAGGGGCTGGGACAGGGCCAGAGTTCATGCTTGCAGGATTGCTGCCAGCAGAGACTCGCATTGCTTTCTATGTGAAAGGAGGCCAGTGCCACTCTTAAAGTTTTAAGCGGCCACAAGTCTACGGCTTACCATGTTTGCCATCTACACAAAGTCCGGTGTCCTGCCCTGCTCCTCAGCTCGCCACAGCAAGACCGCAGGCACTGTAGGCGAGGGCCGAAAATTCGACCTTGTCCTCAGTGCGCGTGTGATAGGTGCTCTGCATGGTCTTGTTCACAGAGAAAGACTATGTTCTCTGTTCACAGATACATTGCTCTGTCTCAGGAATTCACTCCCTTTTTCCAATTCCCACAGCCACATCTGCCCAGAGGCTAGCGCACATTAGGAGGAGGAAGAAGAGGACACGGGAAGACATGTTTGCTGAACTAATGGAATGCTCCCGAGCACAGGCAGCCCAGCAGACACAGTGGAGGGAGAACTTGTCCCAAATGCACCGGGCAAACATTGAACGGGAGGAGAGGTGGCGACAGGAGGACAGGCAGGCTACTCAAACGCTGCTTGGACTAATGAGGGAGCAAACGGACACGCTCCGCCGCCTTGTGGATGTTCTGCAGGACCGGAGGCAGGAGGAGAGAGCCCCGCTGCAGTCTCTCTGTAACTGCCCTGCCCCGCCACCAAGTCCCATACCCCCCTCACCCAAAGTCCAAACACGGAGGGGTGGAAGGGGCCGGGAAAAATTTCACTCCACCCCTGCGGACTGCTCTACCACTAGAAGGCTCTCATTCCCCAAAATTTGAAAAGTCCTTTCCTACCCGCCTCACACAAGACCCCGTCCAAGTTTCACCCCCCCGTTCCATGTGCGGTTGTTAATAAAGAATACGTTTCTGTTCATTTCTGTTTCCATCCTCTTCTTTTGGAGGGGAGTCTGTCTGGAGGGGGGGGAAGGGCCTTGGTCATTGGACAGGACAGTCACCTTTAGCAGGGGGCAGGTGCAGCAGCAGGGCACATATACAGTGCAGTGACTAGTTATCCTGGTCAGTCTGGGAGG